CTTTTCAAAAATGTGGGAAGCATTCCAGTATGTATTTTGATGTCTTATGAGGAAGGCATACTTTCCATTTCATATAAATAAATCAACATATCTGAATTAGAATGTTGACTGCATTCTAAATAGTTATTAAGGCATGAAAATCATCAATCACTGCTCCTATGTAATAGCATGTTTATCTAAGTTAGAGGGTTTAAGAAAAGCACAGCTTGATGGATTGTACTGAATCTTATTTTTCCAATCTTTTTATTAGTTATTGTGTAGCCATTATGAAGCAATTATTATACTTCATCAAACTAGTTTGTCTTGTTTCTGCATTGACAAGTGGAACTTTTCTTCAATACTTCAAATTATTTTCTACTAACATGACTTAGTTTAGTAATTCAGTAACTACAACTTATTTACATGTTTGCCTGACTCAATAATGTGTACACCATCTTCTCATGTGTTTAGTCTTATCTACTCTCTGTACTCCGACATCATCACTGTGGGTATCTGTAGTTCATCTCCAGGAGGTCCTTGATAAACCAGGAAAAGCTTGCTTGGAAGCAATTTTATCCAACATTTTCACCACCTTTTAGTTCCAGAACAACAACAAGATGTATGGTAAAAGTGCCTCCAAGTTGTTGTGAAAATCCACAAGTTGCTGCATAAAACTCAAACAATGTACAAAGCACCTGGGATGAAAAATCCTAATTAGCACAATTTTTAGAAAGAAATATAAAGAAAAAAATATAAAAAAGGCAAATTAAAAAAAGCAATATATAGTTGCCCAACAAATATATGAATTATCTTACAAAAAAAATTAAAAAGAAAATAAACAAGGAAATGGAATTTAAAAATCCTAAAAAATTAACAAAATCAATTGATAAAATAATTTTGTCTTGATTTTGTTTGGTATAAGATATGGTGCAAAGAAACTCAGACAGGCTTTGAAGATTTTGTTATTTTACTCTTGAACTATAAAGAATATTTCTGAAAACCTGCTGCTTCTGTTTCTTGGCCACCTTGAAGAACAAATAGTCCATAAAAGCTATTATCATTGTTTCCCAATATCTACTTCCTGTCATTCCTCCCCATCACATTCTGAAGCTTCCAAAAGCATCCACTCTCCTCTTCTGGATAGAAGCTCTCTTCCCCTTAAAGGAGGGGTGTCAAACTTGCAACGTCACTTGACGTGTCACAACATATTGTGACTTTTTTCCCATTGCCGGCAATGGGGTGGGCATAGTTCCGCCATGACGCATCTGGTCCATGGGCCGGAAGTTTGACATCCCTGCCTTAAATCAACTTAAAATCACCAAGTAGTCCTTCAGCTGCACCATGAAAAGTCTTAGTCTACACAACATGTCATGACAACTGACCATCTGTGAGGGGCTGTGACACTGATGATAAATGTCAGGATGAAAGACAGGTGGAAGAGCCACAAGGTCAAGAATCAGAAAGAATAGGTGAAGAAAAGCATATCATAAGAGACCCTCACTATCTGGAAAGTAAAAGCAAGGGAAAAGAAAAGTGCTTTCAGACTTGCAAAACTGTGTCAATGAGTCCTTTCAATAAAAGTACTTATAGTTTTGGTTTCCTGTCTGAACCACCTTGAAGGGATGCCATCAATCTTACAAATCTTTTTTCTAAGAAAGGGAGAAGATCAAATCTTGGAGGGGCATGTGCTACATTGGGTTCTGCAGTAGACCTGCTGGTCAGGTTCCAGTAATGAAATAATTAATAGCTATATAGACTTGTTTCAAGATTCTTGAGGCAAGGATATATTATTTGCCATACAATGAGTTGGTTAACCAGATTTCACCAGATTTCAGCATCACTTGCTCCTGAATATACTGTAATTAGTTATTTTAGGCACATGGCCAGCTATGCTTACACATCTGCATTCTGTTAGATGTATGATTTTATGCTTTGTACTTATCTTTATAAATTCACCTTTTATGAGGAATTTCATAGAGAATGGTGGAATGCATAGCCCTCAGTCGTTGAAAAATGCTGACTCTATTCCAAAGACAAAGCAGCTGTTTTGTAACGCACATCCAACAACAAATGATAAGGATGGGTGGAAAATTGGCTCTTTATATTTGTACCCAACACAACTGTCCAATGTTGTCACCTTTGTGCACTATTGTACATAAAAATCATTGTCACATTAGTAAAGAAGAAAATATAGAAAATGAATTAGGAATGGGCAAAACATTTCAATTTGAATTGCCCTGAATTTGAAACACCCATTTTGAATGCAAGACAGCGGCTTCAGGTTATTTGGAAGTGTTTCTATTTTAAATCAGGTCTAGTTTTGAAGTCAAAGCATTTCCAAATATATTCATACAACCCATTTTACAACCATTGATTTGATCTGATTTCACATTTCAAGTGAAGACATACCATTAAATTATTCATAAGCACCTAGTGAAGCTGTACTATCCCCCTCACTTTTCTGGTAAGTGAGCGAATACTGTTAGCACTGACATGGTTTGCCACCTGACTTTTAAGGAGAGAAGGCTAGGACAGTAGATAGAAGTATCTTTGAATTGCCACTCATGATATAGATACTTCAAAACTTCACAATTCATTGTGATGCTTGGTTACTCTTATAAAAACTGCAATTTATTTATCTAGCCTATTCTAAGTTGCTCTTCAGCCCAAGGATATTCAGGACAAAGCATAAGATGACTACAGTGAAGAGGAGATTCAATAGGAAAATGCAACAGTATTTCAAGTAAAAAAAATCCTGTACTATCAATACAAATTTCTCAATGTTACTATATGGGTTTGGGTATTTTATTTTATTTTTTTAGAAAATCACTGTATGGCATTAGAGTACGGTAGTACTTAAAAAGTAATCTATGTCACTCTCAAGTCTCTTTATCATCATTTACCTCTTCCTCATAGCTTATTGTAGTGATTATAAAATCCGAAGAAGACTTTTATGCACATACTGTTCATGTACAGAAGCTTCTCCCAGAATTTACAAATGATGGTAGATTCTAGAAGCAGCTGGGGATGACAGCTTCCTGACAGCTTCTTTTATGATAGTGGTTTCTATCCTTTCCGAAAGCCAGGAATGGCTGTGTGAAAGTGGTGAAAGAAACTGATGAGTTATAGACTGCAAACAATGTAACCTGCCTGGTTTTTTTTGCTCTTAAGATCAAGGAGAACATCTTACTTCATAAAGCAGCTTCAAGAGGATGTTTTGAGCAAATCTTAGCAAAACCAAGTGCCCTCTTGAAATTTATACTTCTGATATTAAAAATGTCACAATGGTAGCCTAGGCAAAATAAAACTTACATACATACTGTATACAATTATTTACATCAAGTGCAATTTAAGGTGCTGGCTATTATCTATAATGCCGTATATGTCATAGGGCCAAGATACTGAGGAATTGCTTTTTCTACAATCATTCTGTCCACTCAGCATGTTCTGGCAGAATGGACCCATTCCAGGTCTTCTCTATTAAAGGATTCCATCTTGTGAAATCAAAGAGCCATGCCTTCTCTGTTGCAGCCCCCACTCTCTGCAACAATATCTCCCCAGAAATACTGGACAGTGCCCGCCTCTTAGGACTCTGGAAAGCTCTGAAAATCTGGGTTTTCTCACAGGCCTGGATTGATGTTTGCTGTTTGTTTAATGGTCCTATTTTGATTTTCACACGCTCCAGAGTCCAAAGCAGTTAGCGGCTAATAAATTTAAGTAACCCAAATCTTTTAAAACTGTTTTTTTAGACACACCCCCACTTTATTTATAAGTGACCTGCAGAGGCCACATTTCAAAAACGGTTGGCCATGGATATCAAAGTGGGTAAGGAAATATAAAAATAAGCTAGATTTAGACTGATTAAAATTAAAATTATTTTCAGTCAATAAGGCAGTGAATAATTTTTATCTTCTCTCACATTAAAATTATAACATTATATTAGAAATTCTGGATGTGAATTCTAAAATGTAGTTGAACTATTCGTAAATCCCGTTTTGCTCAGTTATAATCTGGACCTGGAGAAAATGTCTTTGGGTCTATTGGCTCTTGCTCCATCTTGTCATCTGCTCTGCAGCCATGGATACATCTCTGTTGTCTCCTCCACCCCCTCTTCATCACAAATAACTATCACTCACAATACATAGGAGATCATTTTCAGAAGTAGCTATTGTATAATTCTTTTCCATTTTTTAGTTTTAATAACCTCCTAATCAGTAACAACTAAATAATGAATAGTTTAAAAAGATTTGGAGTTGCTTTGATTAATAATTAAGACATTGTGACAAATATTTTTAAAAAATACTTTTGTCATCATGACCAACCTACATTTTTAATAAAATCAAAAATAGTCAAAGCAGCAAACTGACTTTTTCATTTTTTTCTTCTACATCAACAAGGATACCAGAGTAGAATAAAAGGTTTTTGTAAATATATGAAGACTCATCTTAACCTATACTTTCTAATGCTTCACTTTCAATTTTATTTCTCAAAAATAAGACTTGTTTTTTTTTAAAAAATGTTGACAATTTCATCTCTTCTATTTGTTAAGAAGTAAAGAATATATTTCAATTATCAATAGACATAGACATATCTATAATTTTTGCAGGTTATTTGTTAAACAAATGAAATGTTTTTATTTACTTTATTAGTACAAGAGTATTAGAATGGCTTCATGAACTAGAGCTTTCCAGTTGTGCCACAGAAATAGTTAAATGATATTATACTGTAGCTGAACATTCAAATTTTTTTCCCTGTGAAATTAATGCTTTTAGGGTAAATTTATGTCTGTCAACAAGTAATGATCATAGATGTGAGTTGGCTCATAATCCAGACGTACTAGGTTACAATGTGTTGCCATGGAAACAATGTTTTATTGCATTTTCTCTACTTGATTTAAATCATTTGACAATCATAGCAACCATTTGCCTGTCTTCCTATATCATAAAATTTTTAAAAACACTGATAGATAGACAGACAGACAGACAGAACTTTGCTACTAGAAAGAAAAAGAAACAAGAGAAGGAAGTGAAAAGCTTTTATTTAACATAGACCTTTGGTGAACCATTTATTTCACAAAACGTAAAGTGTTGGGAAATTCAATCCATGGTTACTCATTGCAAAGATTTGTCTTACTACGGCTCACTTTGTTGATTGCATCATATATCTTTTATATTCACTAGAAGTTTAGCTTGAAGCAGAATTTGTTGAAGCAGTTCAACAAGAGCTGTGTTTCCCCTAACACTGTTTATGTCATCTGAAACATTATTCTTTGAATCCAGGACCAATTTTCAATTGAGCAAAGGTCTGTAACTGAATACTGCATGTCTGTATTTATTCAGCATCCAGAATAAGAAATATCCTTGTTCATGTAACATTAATCACTTTCCCAGTGTTCAGCTGAGGTCATTGCCACATTCCTAGCAGTATTACACCGAGTCAAGATTAATCACATATATTAAACCCTGCAAGAACCCAGTGGAAAGGATCTGAAATTATACATTTAGTAAAAGAGAGAAGAGGGGAGGGGGAAGAAGGAAGAAACAAAGATAACAAACATGTGTTAGTATATCAAGAATTTGATACCCGTTTGGATTTTTCTTCAGTTTTGGTGCAGTTTACCATGTCAGTTTTTCATTAGAGAATAGACTATAGGGAATGATTAGTGTTGTTTTTAACTGTATTGATATTTTATTGCTGTAAACCACCATGGGGGATCTTTTTTACAGCTGAAAGGCAAAACACAAATGGCCTGTAAATAAATGCAAGTTAATTAAGTGATCTTTAGACTAACTATGATTAGGATGGACCTTTCTTAATGAGAAATGTACCTACATACACTCCAATTGAATGACTAAGCTTAGTTTATATATTTACTTTGGTGGCTGATACAGCTCATTAAAACAGAAAAGAAATAGATTCCTTTTTCCAGATAACTACAGTTGTGAAACATAAAGTTTAAATAAGTATGAAAATGGGACTATGTACCCCTACAAGGAATTACTCCTAAAATGTAGGATTATTGTGATAAAGTCTACAGCACATAATTATGTAAATAACTAGCTGATATTAGAAGTTGTGTTATGGTGGAGAATGTCTCATACCAAATTTCTTACCTAGGCACTAGATGAGTTTGGATTGTATCTGGATCTGAAATTCCTCCAAATGTCAGCTGTTTCTGGAAGAGGAACAATTTAAGGTAAAACCAAAAGCTGCTTTCCAAGAAGTCACAACTTCTAATTTTTTAAAACAATTTAAAATCAAATTTAATTCATTCAAATATTCAATTTGAATATCTTAACATACATGATTCTGGATGGCTCACAATCATTAAAAGACCCAAAAACATTAAGAAGATTGCAAAGAAAAAAAAAGTATTAAACCCATTAGACCAGGGGTGTCAAACTGCTGGCCCGCAGGTCGGTTGCATCATATGGAGGCCACGCCCATTCCAGCTCCGGCAATGCAAAAAAAGTCACAATATGTCTCAACACGTCACGTGCATTAGACTATTAAAGTCACTGCAATCTGTAGCCAAGGTACAGAACATACATATTCAGTATAGACAGCAAACAGGCTATACTGAATATATGTACCACCACTGTATCCCCAAGTGTGGTGGAAGAACTGTGTTTTCGGAGCTTTCTGAAAAGCCAATAGGGTTGGGGCCAAATGGGGTTCCAAAGGGTAGATACTATGGAAGAAAAAGCTCTCTTTTGGGCCCAGTCAGATGAGATTCATTAGTAGATGTGACCCAATGACATGGGTATATGTAAACAATGCATTTACTGCTATTTGTTAAGTTTAAAATTAGATACATACCTGAAGCCAACATTGACAAAAATATATAATGGTAAGGGAAGACACAAATTAGACTTTGAAGGTTGCAGAATTAAATTAATTGCAATTAACTAATATTTATTTTATTAGATCTTTGAAGAGAACTTATTATAATTTATTCTGAGTATTCACAACCTGAACTAGATATGATTTAAAGGCATCCAGGACAAAAGAAACATTGTATTTTTTTAATGTTTTCTCTGTAATCCTTGTGAGCCTCACTTTGATTATATGTATATTTGTCTATGAAAAGAATAGTAGGTCAACTCCCAACTCCAGGAATCAAAATTATAAAATGTATTTAGTTGTAGTTCAATATAATTCAGACTGAATTAATTATCAGTTATCAGCTTGAAGTTTTCTACAGTTTCATCAATATCCAGAAAAACGACCATTTTAAATAAAAGAAACAAAACAAAGAAATAGTATTTTAATTAGCAAAATAATTTAATCAGATCTAGAACTACTCAATATAGTTAACTAAATATTAGGAAAAAATCAGCCTCAACATCTGAAGAACTGAATTTTCTCTAATTATCACAGTGAAGCACCTTTACAATCCACTTTCCACCTTAATCTATTGTAGCTGTCCATACTAGGAGAGATGAAGTATCAAAATCTAAGTGTTCAGTTCACTTCTCCTATTAGGCTTTCCTTTGTATATTTTATAGTAATTCTATAAGCCTTTCAGATGAGATCAACTCCCAGTGACATGATATGGAAGTTAATCAACACTGCCTTTTTTAATGGTATTTTGTCAACTTTTCAGACTAACCTACAGCTTTAGAATTCTCAAATGGTCCTTATCACAACCAGGACCAAATTTGTTTTCTTTTATAAATATAACAAGTTTGGCTAGATGATTTTATACTCATATTTAATTATTCAACCCATTATACTAGTCCTTTTCTTCTCTCAACTCTTTCATTTATTCCTTTTACCAATTGTGTGTTATAATAAACATTTACTTTAAATTGCAGTGATTTGAGTACATTGCCAAAAAGGTATAAATATGATCAGTAAACATATATAGAAATCTGTACATATCAATAGTTGTTCCATTTTCCAGATCACTGATGCATACGATCTAATAGACTAGTTATGTGGATTATTGAATGCATTTGTTTATACTGCATTTTATAAATTCCATCGCAGAATCCAAGGCAACTTTTTGATAATCTCCTACTCAGAAACAGATTAATTGCTTGGCTTCAACAAGGCATCCTATCCTCCATACAATGTAATAACTGATCAAAATATTTTTTGCAGGTAGATTTTTTTTAAAAAAATACTGTATTTGTAGCATACTAACTTTATCTTAATTGCAAGAATTTTTCTTATTTCACATTGAATTATACAAGGATGCATGAAATCTCATTTAGCAAATTAATTGGAGAGATGGACACAAATTGATGGATCACACAAATTGTTGGAGAGTATTTTATAACAGAGAATGTATGTTACTTGTATTAATTTATGTCATTTGCATGTGCACATACAAGTGCATAAATAATTACTGGTATACGTTCTTCACTTGAAATTTTTACAAAAGATTGATATATAAAAGAACGGTAAGTGGCCAGATAACTTCAATAATTTCACATTTCAAGCATTAATATGCTTGCCTAAAAATAAGTATCACAGATTTCAATACACTACCATAAACATACACATTTCTATTCTTTTCTATTCTGGGTCTTGCTATTTAGTCCAAGTTACTATTGCTAAACATTATTGTACCAAGACAAATTGGAATACTTGAACTAACCTTTGTGTTTTGAGATCAGCTTTAGAAGTCATACTTGTACGCTTGCTGATGAGATCAGTGAGCATGATGATAGCCCACTTTGGGGGACTTCTTCCAACCACAATATATATTTATGTGTCACTTCCATTTTAAAGACCCATTTGTTTCTTTAAAAGTTACTTTAAGTGTATTTAGCTACCTTACTTTAAAGCTCATGGTGCAATCTTCTACATTTTTCTCCTGAAGCCCTATTAATTTCAATGGTTCAATAGGTAAAAGAAGTCAAAAGAGTCAAGAACTATAATCCTCTGCTCATGTTCTTGAATGAATGTACAAAGATCTTACATTGTGAGGGATATTTCTAAATAAAGATGTCTCGAAATGAGCTACAGAATGAATAAGCATACACAGAAAATAAAGTGTTTTGGACATGTACGTCGATCAATATATGAAGAATGCAGGAGTGATCACAAATTAATTGCATACACTAACTTCATTATTTTTAATATCTTTTAATATATGATAGAAAACATCTCCAGTGAGTAGGAATCACTGTGGACACTTGCTTCCTAACATAAGCTAAGTCTGAAGGAGCATCATCAGGAAAACTACTCTTCAAAATTATCCTAAAATAAAATAAAAATGTCATTGGCTGACTATCTGAAGATGAACATCAAAAGCCTTTCTTTTCAAAAGAGGAAATTTTAAAAAAAGGTCATAGTTTCTCCTGAATGTGAAATATAATATCTTTAGCATGTAATAATTAAAAAAAACAATTACAGTAGTCTTATCTGGACCTTGCAGCTGTATTTCCTTGTTTTTGCATTGGCAGAATGTATTGGAAGGTTATGACAAACCATGAAAATTGCATCTTAAAGAGTTTTCTTTCTTTTCCTATGATCTGATTGAAACAGACAGCTACATTTTGTGTATATATAATTAGGCAGTAAAATAGTCTTTGAAGGCAGATTTCATTTAGTATGTGAGTCACACACAACAGGCTTTCATTCAACAGCCAAAGACTGATCTTTTTAATGCCTTAACTTGCTCAACCTGTTTTCAGAACTCTATATAGGAGAGAGAGGGGAGAAAGAGAAAAGGAAGAAAGGCGGACAACAATTTTTTGGATCAAATTTCTTCAGTCAAAGGAGAAAGAGAGGGAGGGAGGGAGAGATTGTGAAAGACTAAGAGAAAGAGAGATATACAGAGAAAATCAGAATTGAATAAATATGAGATAAATATGAGATAAATATGAGAAGGCATTGCCTCTCCCACCCACTTTCTTCCTCAATGCCCACCACAGCAATGAATGCTGCACCAGCTCTGGGTGTATCTAATTCCCCTTATAAAAAGCTATTTCACCAGTAAAACTAAGATCCACAGTTTTCTTTTTTTTCATCATCACTTCTCAACAAACTAATAGCATCGGTTTTCTTTCATTTTCAATGCAAAGATTTTTTTTTTTAAGAAAAAAGAAAAATGAATGTCATTCTGTTCTGTCAACAATCATAATTTTCAAAGGAACCAGAAAAGCAGAACTATCTTACAAGATGTGATTCACATATTGCCACAACAAAGCATTTTCATGCACAGTAGAAAATATAAAAAGCATCCAAGTTGAATAATGCTTCAGTGTTTGTTCTTATGCTTTCTAAGAATGTTTGTTCCTGCTTTATTCTTTAATAGAGGCAGTTGTCAACTTACAATCACACATTCAGCAACTGTTTAAAACTACAACCATGCTGAACAAAGGGGCTTACAACCTGTATCTAATGTTACAGCCATTGCAATGACCCCACATCACATGAACAAAGTTTGGGCGTTTGGCAATCTAGTTGCCCTTACAACCATGCCCGCCGCTTGCACAAATAGAGCTGTACGCATACGGAACCATCTACTTTCCCCAGTCCCCCGAGCAGTACGCAAAGCCACAAAAGGTTGGGGAACTCAGTCTTAAACTGTACATCTTTCAAATTGGAATTTAAAAAAATATCAAGCTGAGCCATATTAGCCTACTTCTTTTATTTTGACCTTGTAGGATTTTTTTTTAAAGGATGATACCAAAAAGCAGATAGTATAAACTGCAAAAATCAGAATAGCTCCACGTTAAGAAAAAATTAAACATAAATTTACCTCCTGCTGAGCATGTCAGTTAAACAAGTTCCAAAAAAGAACAAACTAAACAGCGCTATAATTTATAGATATATAACTTATCAATTTGGCACATATGTTTAAAAACTGTACAAACAACACCCAAAGTTTTATCTGGGCCATTCTTTCCCCTCCTTTTAATATAAAATTATTTAAAGATGATCGTCATCATCACCATTAGCTATTTTGTCGTGCCCAACCCTCGGCCACTCTATGGATCAGCATTCTCATGTCTCTCTGTCTTGCACTGCCTCCTTCAGATCTGCCATGGTCATCTCAGTCTTCTTTTATAGTGTCCAGTCAGCAAGTAGTAGGATGGCCCCTTCTCATTTTTCTGCTGATCACTCTCAGCAGCGAGTCAGCTCTCATGACATGATCAAAGTATGACAGCATCTGTTTGGCGAACTTGGCTTCAAGTGATATTTTTGGTGAGGTTCGGT